GGCATAGCTCACTTCTCCATTCTAATTCTGATTAGGTGGAATTACTGTGTATATATGTGGTTTCTGTCTTCCTCCAAGTTGTTCACCAGGCTACACAGTTAGCTGAATGTGTTTTTTTACATACTGCTATCCACTCTTTTTCCCTGCTTTTTAAAGGGCTTTCAAAATTTGGCAGTTAATTTCATAGTAGGCTTAGAGAAGTCAGTTATACAAACAGTTGCTTAGGTTAATAAGAAGGTTTAGAATAATAAGTTTCTGTTCTTCAAATGATTGAGAATTACTAGAGGTCCCAGGTCTCAACTTAGCCATGAGGAGCAGGGTGCTGTGAGGAGAGCTGTAGGATTGTGGGCTGCAGTAGAACTAGCACTTTGAAGCAGATGAAAGAAAAGCCTCTGTGGAATCCTGTGTCTTCCTTTCAAACAGTCCTTGAACACACTTGAAATGTGACTGTATATGAGGAGCATGATATAGCTATAATATAAAATACGATAGGAAAAGCCATGGGTTTGTATTGTTGAAATTATGAAGCACATATAATCTGGAATCTTGTTGTTGGGCCAGCCCAGTAAGAATACAGCATAGAAATGCAGCCTGTGGTTTGCAGTAGACACTTCTGAGGAATTTTCTATAGGTTTTATGTTGCAGTATTCAGAAGCTTTTCAATATGTGTTGAGCATGTGTATTATGTTCCTGTTTTCCATCTGCAGGCGCTTCTTTTTTTTCTTTTTTCTTTCTTTTTTCTTCTTTTGATGGCCTTGAAATTCTGAGGGGAAGGCTACAGTAGAAAAGCACCCTACTTGCTAGCAAAGGTATGAGTGGAAGTGAAGGCATCTGTTCAGTGGATCTCTGAGGAAATGGCTTCAGCAGTGCTGCAGAGATTTCCCAGCTCTTTATGAGTATTCAAGTGGTAGTTCTACCTTAGAGCTCTCTGAACAGACAGTTATGCTTAGTACCAGACTGCAATGTCTGAATCAGTATTGCTGAATAATTAATCTGTTAAAAAGAAAGCTGTGATGCTTTAGTAAATAATGTTTACTGGCTGAAATAAAAAATGAAGTATGTCTGATGTTATAGTGAAGGGTGGGAGAAAGGAAGGGAGTAAAAATCGTTTGGTCTTCAGTGAATAAGATTGGCAGTGAATAAGAGAGGCAGAAATACGAGTAGATCAATCTTCTGATCTTTAAAGTATCCCTAACAGTAGGAACAAATAAAATGCCAATGCAGAGAATTTACTCTGTCAAAGGATGTATGACAACTCAGGTGTGAAACTGTCAAAAAAAAATCTTGTAGCCTTTCGTGTGACTTCTGTTTGTGCTCTGTTAAAAATTGCAGAGAACAGCAGTGGGCATCTGGATATTTTTCTCTTCCTCCATGCAGAGACCGAGGCAGGTTTAAAGTCAAGCCAAAAGGCATCTGTCCTTGTCCATCCAACAGAGTACCGCTTTGCAGGTACTGGGTAAGAGTGCAGATGCTTAATAGTAGCAAGAAGGGATGAGGATTTATCAGAAAAACTAGTAAGACTGTAACTAGAAGATAAATAGGTAATAATGTAGAAATACCCTAAAGGAGATGAGCGTGTTCATATTTGATGATTTCTATTTGCAGCACAGTGGTAGCTGGACACACCCAAAAGCAGTAAGTTTGTCCTTTGGAAGGTGAGAGAAACTGTAAAGCAGATTATGCCCTGTCCAGTTGTGCTGTGCTGCAAAGGCAGGTGGTAGTGCATCCCTGAGATGTGCTGAGCCTTTGGTTTGAGAGACCTTTTCTCCGTTGAGCAGCTGTATGTACACATAATGCACACACAATACCTGCACAAAGAATTAGTCTGTGGCAGTTGCTTGGTAATCTCAGGTAGCTGAAAGTGTTAGAAGGTCTTATCCTTTCCAAAAGACACTCGATGGATCTAACATGAGAGTTAAATCAGTGCTGCTTATGTTTTGCATACTTAGTAACTAATAAATCAGTGTGTTCTACTTATTTATAGTATAAGGATCTTCTGTAGAAATAAACCACAGTTCCAGCTGGACAATTCAGTCTTTGTTCAGATCCTGCTAGAGTTTCCTAGCTGTTTACATGGGTGTTAACAGTGCTCACAGATGGCTATCTCACGCTTCTGAGTATTTTTAGTTTAACTTTCTGGTTCAAATTAAAGGGAAGCAGTCACTTTGTGCTGTCTCCTCTGAGTTGGAAGTCAACATAGGGTGAGATAGCACCTAACCAATCCCATGCATCTGGAGCGGGTGAGGATTGTTGAGGTCCAGTTGAAATTGTGTCTGGAGAGTGAGAGTGTATGGTAAGTGAGAGGTGGGTTTATAGGTACACCTTTGGTGTGCTGGTCAGTCTAAAGCTCCTGACTGTGGCTGCCATTAACAGCCTCCCCTGATGGAATCTGGCAATGTGTCCTGCTTCACAGTCACTGTGCTGGTTATTGGGTTACATTACATTTGCAAAATTGTTGGTAAGTTGGCAAGACTCAGAGCTACCATGTGCTCTGCTAAGAGTGCAATTTTTTTTCAACTAAAATATTTGTCTGTTTTGTAGTTTGTAGAATCATAGAATCTTTGAATTGTTTTGATTGTAAAATACCTCTTAAGATCACTGAGTCCAACCATTAACCTAACACCATCCTATGTCCCTAAGTGCCACATCCACACATTTTTGAACATTTCCAGAGATGGTTATTCCATTATTTTGGTGGAATAGTATGTGATATCTACTATTGGAGGTATTCCTATGTTTATTTCTACCTGTAGATCTTAATTGTTTATGAAATCACATTGTTAAGGCTACAGACTCTATAGGAAGTGCAGATTCAGAATTAGAATAGGCTCTTCCCTGTCTACATATACTTGTAGTAGTTTGTGTACTAGGTGAAGGTTTTGGAGAACCTGTGTTTTGATCAGCATGGGAAATAGACTTGGTCTGCAGGTGATTCAGAATTGTTGGGCCACTGTCTTGCTTGCTGCAGCAATTGTAATGCATCTAATGAAAGAGGCAGGGGACTAAAATTGGAAGAAATTAGTTTTGTCCTGTTTGTAGGCTGACTGTTGCAGTTTTTCTAGTGCTGTGGAAAGACATGACAGTGCAGTGTCTCTAATGGTCACTGATCACATTAATAGCCAGTCTTATTTACTGGTGACTTACCATTTTGCACGCAGCTCTAATTGTGTGTTATCCCGTGGAAAAAGTAGAGATGAAATAAGGACTCTCATACTGCACAAAGGTTATGCATTTATGGTTGTAGAAGCATCTGGAGCCTCCTAAAGACCAGACTTCTTGGTGTGTCATCTAAATGTTCTTATAATACTGTTTTTACTGCTTAGTATCTCCTCCCCTCCCTGCTTCTGCTTTGTGTGTTTAAAAACCAACCAAATAATACAACAAACCCCCAAACAAACAAAAGAGCTCTAACAATTTTACAGGGTCATTAAATTAATTTCATGCAGGCAGTACCTGTTTGTGCTATTGCAGAAGTTAGAGGATGACATGTTGGTATATAATGGAGTTAGTTAAAGATTTCTATGTCCCAAATTACCCCTTTTACCTCTTCTGTACATGCCCTGGATGAGTCAGTACCAGTTCCCCTTTGGGATCAGCTCATGTAGGTGGATTCCTACAGCATTGTCCAAGTCTGTCTGCCTAGTCCTTTCCCTGTCAGTTTCCTCTCAGGGTTTCCTAATCTCTTATCAGTTTTTCCAAGCTCCTGTTATTTCCATTTCTAGTCTCGACCTCTATAGGAACATAAATCCAACAAATTGTTTTCTTTTTTGCTTCTGCTTACTCCTGGTTGGACACTTCTGTATTCCATGGAACTTGTATTTCATGTTGCTTGTTTCAGTGGGAAAAAGTCTCTATTTATTTACTTTTTTGTAACAGTAATGAGAGTTGGAGATGAAGGACTTGCTTAGTCTCTAGATCCTAGAGCAGTCACCTGTAGGGGAGATCCAGCTTTGCTTCTGTAAAATTGGACTAACAAGGTTGTGCTGAGCCACTTTGTGGAAATGTCAAATAATTTATCCACAGCTAGATGACTGCTTTTGAGCAAACCTAGCAAATGAGAATTTTAAGTTTTTAGCTTCCTAGTACTTCAATTCTTAGTAGGTATTTCAAGGGTTTGGGGTTTTTTTCTTTGCTTTCTTTTTTAATTCACTTTACAAGTGTTTAATATATGACCATGTTTCTGTGCATTATTACAGGGTCTAAAGTGTACATCTCTGATGGAGGGGTTAACCTTGACCAAGTTCTAGGTACCTGCTGTAAAGAACAGAGGGCTAAGGTGCTTTAAAAAAAGTAAAAGTTAATGTACCTGAGCAGATCTGCAGATTGTATTGCATATGTACCTGAACTCTGACAAATGCAAAGTAGATCCAAGGTAATATGGACTGGATTGCATGTCCTTGCTACAGACATGCCACACTGAAACCATTCCAACCACATGGATCCTGGTTTTGTAACCAGAGTTGGATTCATGATGCTCTATGAAAAGTAGTCTGAAGAGAATGGAACTGATTACAGAACATATCTGCTGCCTCTTTAGAAAACATAAAATCCCTTTGTGAAAAGTGGACCAGGCAGAAATGAGATTCAAGAGATATTAATTTAAGAAGCTGAAGTTAGTCAAGCCCAACACTCTTTAAGTGTCAAACTGTCTTCCTCTGTAGTTAACTAGAGTTCAGATGCATATCCAGGAGTTTGCTGTTGGGGAAAACAAAAAAGATTTTTTAAAAATATAACTCTGAAGCACTGAAGTCCTTTCTCATGAAAGAAGAACAATGCATTTTGTCTTTGCTCTATTTAATTTGAAAGGAAAGATGAGTCTGAAATGCAAAGTGCAAACCTGTGACTGTCTGTCCAGATCTGAAAGTGTGAATTTGAGTTTTGCTTTAGGGTTGTCCTTCTGCAGTGGTGTTCAGTTGATTTGGCATGTTTTTTTACTACTTTTTTTTTTTTTATTTAAGGTTACTTAAATAAAACAACATAATGTTTTTACTTACAGCACTTGAAGAATCGGAAAGTGACATTTATGTGCGATTCATGAGGTCACACAAGTGTTATGACATTGTTCCAACAAGCTCTAAGCTTGTTGTTTTCGACACTACGCTACAAGTGAGTATTCTCCTTTCAGTCTGCCTTTGCTTGCAGTTCATTCTTTTTAAAAATTAGTGTTAAATGAAATTTGGTCTCTTGAAGAGAAATACTCCCATAGTGGTGTGCTTTGACTGTACCAAACTATACTGTTTCAACTATCTTTCATGTTATACTGGAAAAGGAGTTGGGAAAGACTTCCTAGCAGATCAGAAAGAGAGGATGTAAGTTGCTTTGCAGTTGGAATCTGTCTAAAAAAATTTCAGATGAGCCCAAACTTGTATTGGCTTCTTCATGGCTATCAGAATTTACATAAAGACATTTGATGCAAGATCCCTGTGCAATAGCTAAAGAGCATCCAGGTGTTATGAGCCTCTTCCTGCTCTATTGGTAAGACAATTCAGGACTAAAATGGCTGGCTTAATTATGCAAATTATTACATTCTCCAGAAAATTTTTGTTTTCAGTTTCTCATTTTGCATTTAATCAGTAAATCATCTGCTAGACACTTGGCTCTGTCTGAAGAGTCTGTTTGCCAAAAGAAGGCATTAGCTGCCTGCTATAGAAACAGACTGATCTGTTCTGCAGTGTGGCAGAAAGCTGTAGCCTTCTTTGTTTCTTGAATTTAGCAATTGGTATTTTTGGCTTAGTGTTTTTTGGTGTTTCAGTGTTTTTTCCCATTTAAAGGTGCTCCAATTCTGGCTAAGCTAAGCCCATTAAGTAATTTTGGTCAGGAATGTACAACTCAGTTAGACTTCAGCTTTCCACAGTCAGAGGCATCCATGTAACAGATACTCAATCCCGAAACATTCACAGACCCATCTTGCATATCAGGTAATCATAGATAATGCTAAATTGAGGGCACTGTTCTAAAAGGTGGAAAACCTATATTGACTTTTTCACCATCCTAGAGGGGGAAAAGTTCTGCATTGTTTCCTTTCTTCTGCCCAAAAGAGAGAATAGAATGACTGTCAACTCTGGAGTAAAAAATTCAGAGCTCTTTGACCTGAAAGGTCAAATTTAGGGTGGTAGGGTTCACTGTCACTCTTTCAGCTCTTCTCAAAGACTGTTGGCTTTGTTTTGATTTCAGGAAATGTTTTTTCCTCACGCTATGAGATAATATGTTAGGAGCTAGTACCTGCAGCTTGTTGGCATGACCCACAACCTGTTGTGTTCTCAGCTGTCAGTGGTCACCTGGTTCGAAGGCTTAAGCTTGGTCACTGTTACAGTTGGAAAGATGATTGTTCTTTATTCCATTAACCAGTTAATCTTGAGGCCATCATGCCAGATACCAGTTTTCATTGCTGGAGCTGTGTTAAGATAATGCCATTGATGTAAAGAAGTGAGAGTTTCATCTCCAGTTGGTGAAACAATGTGAGGTAATACTTGGGGAAACAGACTGTGAGTCAATGAACCTTGTGAGTTTTGACCATAAAGGAAAACATGTAACATAATGGTCATGGAGAACTTCACCAACACTTCACCAAATTCTTATTTGGCAACCATAATGATGGTCATTCATTACAGCTGGAGAAGAACAAGGTACACCTTGGTCATGGAGTTATACTCTGTCTGCTTTTCCAGGTATTTGAAAGCAGTGGTGGTAGAAAGGAAGTCTGAAATTCTTAATTCAGACCATAGTATACAACAAATGTAGACCAAATCTTGAGTTTGTATTGCTGGTAAGGAGCTGCTTTTCCCTCTAAACTGCATTTTTTGACTTTGTGCTATTACATTTAATCCCAGTTGCATTACTTTTGATTTATAAAGTCATAATCTTTTAAAGCAGTAGTCCTCTTTCAGCATGGGCACTGTCTTCCAACTTTGCAGGTTTTGAAAAATTAGTAAATTACAGGGTTATTTAAGTAAACATTAAACAGGTTGATCTGAATGCTCACCTGGGTTATACTGCTAGGAGGTCTTTTAAATACTTCTCTTCAGTATTTCCCTTTAGTTCTTTACCTGGCACCATGTATTCATGTAACACTTCCAGTGACTTCACAACACATTATATTCCTTCAGCTTGATCAGTGTGGCTGGTGAACCCACATGTCTGGAAAATAAAAATAGAATAGCTGTTTCTTTTCTGAAACAGCTGAATAAGCACATGGTGGGGAATGAACCTAATGAGGGTAGTCAAACAGAAACTTCTAAACTGCTCATTGTGTTTTAATTTTGAATGTATAAATTAGTTGTTTTCCAGTACTTCAGGACTTTGTATCAGTTCGTATTCTGAAAACATAGTACACAGCTTTGAAACATTCAGCATCCATGAACCCTCTCAAATGGATATTTGTCTTTCCTGGATCTGTCACCCCTACCCACATCAGTGTTTCTCCTGATTTAAAGCCAAAAATCACCCACCAAATAAAAATGTCTGGTGCCTTAGAAAAGTTCTCCAGAGGTTTGAATTCTGGATTTTAATAATGCTAGAGCTAAAAGCAGACTACGTAAGGGCTCACTTTTTGCCTTCCATGGTATAAGCTAGTAACAGTCAATGGAAGAGGAAGAAAAAAGGAGCTGGGCTATGTTCCCATGGCATCCTTTGAAAGCTTCTGGACGCTGGATTTTTATTTGGCTACAGTATCCCGTCTCCCTCTACTGGTCAGCGATCACAGCTCACATCCCATGGAAAACTATTCATGAGATACTGTGGAAAGTATTCCAAACCTGTTGTTAGCTGTGGGAAAACCGAAGATGCTAACTTTATACACTGTGGCACAAGTCATACCACTGAAGCAACATTTATTCATAAAAGTAAATGTTTAGTCTCAATGTCTTTGAGGAAATTAGTGTAAAGATTCATAAGGAATCTTGTTTTAACCTTGACTTAAGAGAGAGGATGATCAGGACAATCAGGTGCCGTTACACTGGAAACAGAAAGAAGGCCTCAATAGCAGAAATAGTAGCTAGCAAAGAGCAGGAAAGGGCTGACAATCTCTTCAGTCCTGCTCATTTGTCAGCCAGAAGGCCTGGGGGCCTCTAGATTCCAGCAGCTCCTGGCTGCATCTAGTGCTGGCACACTGCTCTGGTCTTGTGTGCCACGAATCCACCTGTGCAGGTGGCACCTACGTGTGGCTGTTGTGAAAACTGTGGTATGGCTCCTGCACTTCTGTTGGGCATCACCTCATCTGGGGTGGGACAACTGTGCTTCAGCTGGACACAGACTTGAGCAACATCTGCACCAAATGAATACAACGTACTGAGCCTAGGTTTGTTTATCTGTCTGAGGAAAATTAATAACTCAGTTTGCCTTTGTATTGTTTCACTTTTAGTTCCTCTAAAACAGAGTATCTGCATCTAGTCTGCCTGCCTGTGCTGGACCCTGGGAAGTGGCTGATAGGATCTAGGAAAGTGCTGGTTGGCACAGTTCTCTTGATCTAGACTGACAGTGAACTGTTCTTTCACCCTTTCAGTTTACTAATACAGATGTAGCCTGTAAGTGTTTGCTCCTCATAAATATTCATGGAATCATACTGAACTTCACTTCAGTGCTGTGGCTTTCCCATCTGTGACCCATGAGTACTCCTTGTTTGTGACAAGCTTCAGCCTTTGGCTTTTCCCACAGAAGATGCTATCTTTACTTGACACACATTAAAGGAAATTTTTAAAGTCTAATCTGACCAGGAAGGGAGTCAAGAGACAATTAGATGTTGTGAAGCATCCTGTGAAGTTTGGAAATTTGACTCTCTGGATGGTGGGGAAACTGGGCAAGTTGCAACAGTGTGCAGCTCACAGAAGATAAACCTTCTCATCCTTTGCACATCTCCCAAGATGAAAATAATCGAAGAACAAACTGTCCACAGCCCCTTGGAGGGGTTAGGAGGGTTGTTCCCTAAAGGGCTTCTCTGAGCATTCCCTTATTATTCTTCTTCATTCTAATTATTCTAAAGATAAATGAATCTGGATTGCCTTTGTAATAGACTCCAGGAAAACACTGAGCTGAATGTAGATTTGCTGATCACTAACTTGTGTCTTCAGCACATCGTTTGAGAGCTGAGCAAGTGTTAGTACATTTAGTGTGGCAATGATCTGGGGAAAGAAGGTGACATCCAGATATGCCTTTACTTTCTGTCTGTTGGTTTTAACCTGCATCAGGTACATACAGTGACACAGCAATCTTTTTTTTCCCTTTGAAACTGATACTCATACTTTGAAGGAAAGTAATTCCTGTATTAAATTCAGAAGTCAACAAAATGTAGCACTTGTTCACATTCTGTCAGATTACTTTTGTCTAACATCTACTAAAGTCATTTCACTTTTTTCCTTGTACTGCATACATCTGTTTTCTTTGGAAACTAGTGCATTTCCCCTCCCACACCCTGAACTGTATTTGATTTACGTTTTTTTGGTAAGGAAATGCCTCTTACCTAGCTTATAACAATCTCTGAAGCTTAACTCTAAAAGCTTTCTTAAGGCCAGATTTTTGTCTGACCTTGAAAGAAATGTATTAATTTGTTGTGGCTTTGCCCAGGCTACATAAAGATGAGGAGGATTAGCTTGTTTTCTAACGCAGAGCAATTAACTCTTCAAGAGGAGTGTAAAAGCTAAGTATAACATAGGGAATTCCTTGCTTCATATCAAGCAGCAGTTGGCAGCCCGCAGGAATGATCTGTTAGCAAATGTAGTGGCTATGTCTTGTGAAGTTTACATAAGCTCTCTTGGTATAAAAAGCTCTAGCTAACCTTTGACTAAATTATATTCTTACCTGTTAACAGTAAATTTATGTTTCAATGTTAAAACATATGTAGCTTTTGCTCACCATGACCTTGCAACTGTTTCTGAAGTGTTTGTCCAAGACTTCTTCATAAACTAATAAAAATCATGTTTATGTGGAAACAGTCATCAGAATAAGTGTTCAGAATCCTAAAGACACTTTCCTTTTATATCCTGAAGAAATCTTGGAGTTGAAGGTTAGATTGTTTAACCTTTCTGTTTAATGAAATTACCCAAGTTGCTAATGGACCAGATGTTGTTAGCACTAATGTAGGATTTTGTCAGTCAGAGCTCAAATTCATGCTT